GAGCCAGACATTTGGCTCCTCTACCTCTTGAGCACCAGAGAGTAAGAGAGCATTAGCATTGTGAGTAAACATTAGCTTTTCTTTCTTTTTTTTTTTTCAGTAAGAGGTTTTTATTTAATAGAATTTTTGGACAAAAAAAATCGCAATATATCGCCTTGCTTACAGTATCACAATATATTGTGATATATCGTATTGTGACCCCTCTGTTATGATATGTATCATATCGCCAAATTCTTGCCAATACACAGCCCTACTTGCTTTACATGTTCAGTTTTTCAGTTTCTGATGCAGTGAGTTTTAAACGTGTGTTTTGACACATTTAAGACTTTAGAAAAGCAGAAATCCTTGTGTTTGTGGGCTTTAACTAAACGCTCCTGTTGTACATTGAGAAGCACTAACTTGTCTGGCAGGTGGGGCCCTCCCAGCCCTCTTTGCAGATGCAGGAGAAGGTGTCTCCTCCTCCGACACACGTCCCACCGTTGGAACAAGGACTGGAGGCACACGTGCTGTTTTTAGCTGCAGAAACACAATTATTAGAGGGGTGCTAAATTAATCACAATCAAAAACTGTTACCTCAAATTCTAATCTCAAGTCTTCTATAAAAAAGATTGAGTTACTGTTTTATCTTTAAGTTATCTATAAATAATAAAAACTACCAAAGTGAATTAAAACATAGTTAACTTGTCACAGTTCATTAATGATGCTAACAAGATGCTAAATTAAGAAACTCTGCTTACAGACCATCAACTCCAACTGAATTACATGGAGTTCTGCCTCACCTGTGTTGCAGGTGTTTCCCCCCCAGCCAGGTGGGCAGGAACAACGGAAGGCATCACCGTGGTCATAGCAGGTGCCACCGTTACTGCAGGTGGTTTCATCACACTGGCTCTCACCTGGACAAAAACAACAAGACAAACAAAAAGGAAATGATGAATGAATGAATAAATGATAGATAGACAGATGATAGACAGATGATAGACAGATGATAGACAGATGATAGACAGATGATAGACAGATGATAGATAGATGATAGATAGATGATAGACAGATGATAGATGATAGATGATAGACAGATGATAGACAGATGATAGACAGATGATAGACAGATGATAGACAGATGATAGATAGATGATAGATGATAGACAGATGATAGACAGATGATAGACAGATGATAGATAGATGATAGATAGATGATAGATAGATGATAGATAGATGATAGATAGATGATAGACAGATGATAGATGATAGATGATAGACAGATGATAGACAGATGATAGATAGATGATAGATAGATGATAGATAGATGATAGATGATAGACAGATGATAGATGATAGATGATAGATGATAGACAGATGATAGATAGATGATAGATAGATGATAGATAGATGATAGATGATAGACAGATGATAGACAGATAGACAGATGATAGACAGATGATAAACAGATAGATGACAGACAGACAGGAAAATTTGTATCTTATTATTTATTGATTTTTTTGTCTCCCTTGAAGGAGTAAGACACTTTCCCCCTCTCTCCTGCCCTTCCTTATCTTCCCTGCTTTGCTGATTGGAGCCTTCTCTACGTTTTCATTTGAAACCAGAGAGTACGGATATTTTTATGGATTTGGCTTTAAATTTTTTGGAGGCTGTTCAGGCCATTTCCTGGCTGCCTGACCGATATGAAGGATTGCTGTTCTATCAGCACTCAGACTTTAGGCTTGAGCGAGCTGGACTCTGTCTGCAAGCGGTTCTGCTGAGGGTCGTGGGCCGGCTGTGGTTCCTGGACTTTGCTGACCAGATGGAATTGATCTGGAGAAGCTGAGAGCTCAGCTCGGTGGATTTGTCCACATTATTTGACTGATTGGATTCACCACACTGAGAGGTACCAGCGGATATTAAGGCAGATGAAAAATATCATTGTCTGTCTGACCCAAAACATTTTCTTCTGTTCCCAAACAACTGATTACAGATTCATGTGCCCCCCCACCCCCACCCAAATACATTCCATGTATGACACTTTTGCTTTCTTTTGTTTTTCTTTTTCTCTGCTTATGGCTTCTTTTATTTATTTAATGCTGACAGATTTTAAGCATTTCATGATTACAATCTGATTAAATTCAGTTATTTTTATGTAAATCAGAAGCACACTGAACAACAGTGAGAACTGTATTTCACATTTCTTCTTCCTCTGGCATAAACTAAGTGTGAAATCTTTCATGCAAGCAGCTGAAAGAGAAACGTCCTTATAACGACTCATTTACTGATTCTGGCTAACTTTTACTTTTCCCCGTTTAGTCCAAAGTAACAGCTAAGATTAATAAACTGTACATCAGGGCTACACACAGAAAGATGCCCTGAATAACCACAACAAAAAGTCATGGTCGTAAACACATGTACGGGTTTACCATCTTTGTGTGGACTTGGATAGACTTGCATTAATTTTTACAGCCTAACCATGACCCAAACATGATGTTTTCCACCTGTGACCCCCCCTGGACGAGGGTCGTCTAACGTCCTCACAACAATATGAAATCATGCAGACACACAGAGTGGACGTAACTCACGGGAGTGGCAGGTCTTGCCCTTCCAGTTGTCGGCACACTGGCAGTAGAAGTCATTCACCAGGTCAAGGCAGCGTCCGCCGTTCTTACAGGGGTTGTGTCTGCACTCGTTAACATCTGAGGAAGCAGGAAGGTGACTCAGTGGTTTCTTTTCATTCTTTCATTCATTCATTATTAAACAACCTTCGCTTCGTGCAAAGAGATTAAGAACGGTGCAAGCAGGAGCACGATTTCCTGTTTCTTTATTTTCTCCTCTTTTCCCAAAGCTGCAGAGATTAAGGGTAAGGGTGGGAGGCGTTTTGAGGAACTCACTGAGCTGGCAGAGCTGACCCTCCCAGCCGTCCGGACAGAAGCACTGGAAGGCGTTGACTCGGTCGATGCAGGTGCCTCCGTTCCTGCAGGGGTTGCTGACGCAGTCGTTGATATCTAAAACAAAGTGAAAATAAMATAAAAATCAAGAGGAGGGTTTTATTTTAGGTGATTTATCAGAAACACTCTGTTCCCAGCAGGAGAAAAGACCTACTCTCATGGCAGTAGGCACCACTGAAACCCGGATCACAGGTGCAGGTGAAGTTGCCCGACGGCTGGCTGCTGCAGCGGCCTCGTGGCCCACACACGTTGGAGGGGATGTGCTGCACGACGGCCGAGTCGTTGCTCGCTACGGCGACAGTGCAGCTATCAATCACTGCAGGAGAAAATAAAGTTAGCATGCGAGTTCGTTCAGGCGTCTCTGGTTGTGCCTGAAAACCCCAGAAACCTTGACACGGGCTGGTCTGGCACGGCTCCTTCAGACGCTCACACGTCTTCCCCTCGTAGCCTTCAGGACAAGCGCAGTAGAAATCCTGGTCCATGCTGTGGCACGTGGCGCCGTGCTCGCAGGGGTCCGGATCACAGGTGTCTGAGGGGGGCCAGCCTGGAATCTGTGGAGGTGGGAAGAGGAGGGGCTTCTTTAAGTCTACATGAGGATGTAAAGATTCATCAACGCCATGCATTAAAGCCTTGGTTACAAATCTGTATGAAATATTAAAAGATTTGTGTTTTCTTACACCCCTAATGGATTTTTATTTGTCACTTTATAATTAAACACCAACATGGTGAGAATTAAGAAGAAAAACCTAAAAACAGAAAAAGCAGAATTTGGGAAAATAAATAAATAAAATATTAGATTTCATAGGGCCTTAGCTGAAGGTTGAAACATACAGACTGAACTCTCTTCACCACGACCGACCGGAGTAACAGCCTCATTACTGAGGACTAAATAAGGGACAGGACCATGTTTCCTGCTGTGAAGCATCCCCTCATTTTTACAGGGTTCCTACAGTTTAAGGAAAGTTTAAGACTTTATAATGCCAACTGAAATTAATTCTAAGACCAATTTCATAATAAACACAAATGACAAATTCATATATACTGTTTATATATATATATAAACTGGCAGAAACTCATGAATCAAAGTTTTTTTGGTTGAAGTATTCAAATATTGCCAATAGACCAATTGTTTTTATCCATATCTAAATATAGCAGAAACGTTCTTAGTCYGTTTTAAACTTAATTTAATTTCAGGAATTCCTCTAACAACCCAAAATTTGAAGTTTAAGACCCACAGTGGGGTCTCAAACCCAATTTTCTGTAGATGAAACCTTAAAGTGCCACATCAGATGTTTGTAAGAAAAGTGAGTGCATTGTTAGAAAGACAACATTAACACATTACAAAACAAATGTCACGTTGCTCAGATGGACGGTTGTTGAGATATTTGCAGGTGAAGTAACAGGAAGTGATGTCAAAGAGGAACGTCTGCATGTGAATATTTAAAAAAATAAATGTTACCAATTATTTTAATATTTGAGACAAATCATCGTATTTACAATGTGTTAACATTTTTAAGACTTCTGGAAGATTGATTTAAGACGTTTTAAGGCTAATTTAGGCCTTATTTTTGGATTGATGCATTCAATGACTTTCAAGACTTTTTAAGGATCTGCAGGAAGCCTGTTTAAACAGCAGTCTGAAGTCCAGGACATGACACTGGTTTCCTGAAGGACGTGTTCTAAAACCAGTAAATGCTGGTGCCTCTCCAGATGTGTAGCGTCCCTCACCGGAGCCATTAACACGTTTATCCGTTTACACAAGCATCCTGCAAACAGCTACATGATTTTCCCAAGCCCCGCTGGGTGTCCTCTAAASCCCCAGAAAGCAGCAGAGATCCAGGATCGTTCATCATAAACACTTCCTCATCCAAACAGGAGCTGGAAACAGGAAAATTTGTCCGAGTTCTTGAAACTAAATCCAAACACAAGCAGAGGTCTACTTGGTGACTGAGCTAACAGTTAATCATATGTTGGGTTTTGAGGCATAAACAGCACCTTTGTTCTCATCTTAAAGTGGGCAAATTAAAAGAATCCCTTCAAGCAGGGGGGCTGCAGGGATCAGAGCAGCCTGTCTCCATTTCAACACATCATCTTCGCACAAAAAAACCTTTTGTTGACGACTTAGACAACGAAGCAAGGGAAAGCAAAGCAACAGTTGAGAAAGGAGGGTTAAAGTGCACGTAGACGAGCAGCTTAGAGGCTTCAGCACCGTTGTTCTGAACAAAAAGGTGAAGCAGACAAAGTTTCACTAAGTTCATCAGGAGAATCCACACTTTGCTTTTCTACATCTGTCCTGCTTAATCTGGCACCAGAGAGAGAGAGAAGCAGTGAAATAAAATAAAGATAACTCTTTATGAGCGAGAATATTAACTGTGGGTTTTCACGCTGAGCCACAATAAACATAATGAAGATAAATCATGGCAGCCAGGCCCGTTCAGACATTTCTAAATGCTGCAATGCAGAGTTTAGAAAGAAAATCTCTCCCGTTTGTGTAAACAGAGGRCTACTGTGCATAAACTTTGGGTCGTTTCCATTTAAGGTGGTGAACAGGAGCTGGAGTTAGTGCTCATCAACTTATTTTACCAAAAAGAGTCAGGGCCAGAAAACTTTCTGCAACATGCCAGTGTTTTCAGCTACACAACCATTACGCAGTGACTCACAGTTAGGACAAACAACAAGGACTACACAACTGCTCCTCGCTCACATTAACAGCTGGTTTGGTGGTTTTGATGAGGTGTAGTTTTCAAATGGAGGGCAGGAAATTAACTACGGATAAAGAGGTTGTAAACTCAGCACTGTACGCATTTTAATCCAGTTTCAAGACTAAGATAACAGCAATTAGTTAAAACGTGTTAGACAAAACGTGCATCTCATGAAAATGAAAGAGTTTGACCAAACCAAAAGATTTGCTGACATCAAGGCGGTTGATCACAAACAGGGCTGTGCATTGGCAAGAATTTGATTTGACCATGATACAAGGATCATAATGTGACATTAACGAGGTGATATGTTGCTGTTTTTTCCTCAAATCATTTTAAAATCTCAGCACATTACATGCACAGACTCTGGTTAAAGTCACTGTATTTTATGCAGTCAGAAGAACAGTGAGGACTGCATTTCTAGTTCATGTTTCTTATTACAACATTAAGCCTTGATTAAAAATCAGTGCAGTGTCAGGAAATGGAATATCGTGATGATTCAGTGTCTCCAGCTACTCCAGATTTTGTCAGAGGGTGGGTCCACAACCTCGGTACCAAACTGCTCCACCATGATTGTTTTGTATCATTGTTAAGATGCTAGCAGCGGCAGCTACATTGTACATTGCTGTCGACACTGGTTTTCTGTTAGTAAAATCTCTCAAACTAATCAGGTTTCAGAGTAACTCTCTCCTACACTCAACTTCTTCAGCCTACACTAAATATGCATTCCTTCAAGGAACACGAGGCCTTCGGCTGCAGCTCTGCAGACACGAGTCAAATCAGGGCTCAGGCAAAAAGCAGAAAAAAAAACTGTTACTCAATCAAATTTGTAATGAGCTGAGTGCAGATACGAATCAGAGAAATATGACGCTCGGGGCTCTGCAGGTTTGGCGTGACGGGACAGGAATGCACGTCGTGCCGTAGCAGGTATCAGGAGCGTGGGCAGCACAGGCACAACTCCAGCATCACCTCATTCAGGGAGGTTCACAGAGCTGCTAAACCAGGACTGGCTTCAGACCAGAACCGGGTCCGTTCAGGGTCCCACAGTCAGGTCACAGTTTGAAGCTCGACTCGTTCGTTAAAACATTAAAAAACTCAGAGACTTTGAGCTGAAAGAGCAAAGCTGGGCTGGCTGTGATGGATTCTGTGACTCAGGTTCAGTACCACTGTCCTACAGGTCATCATGATCCAGAGTGAAGTCAACTGATGTGTCAACGTAAATTATCTGTTGCTCAACAGAATCCACACACACACACACACACACACACACACACACACACACACACACACACACACACACACACACACACACACACACACCTCTGAACAAAGTTTTAAACCACTTTTATTTTCTTTATATGTCACTTCTGAAGAGCTGGACTTTAAAGTGATGTGCTCCAAACGTTCTCCAGGTTTTCTGAATTATCTTTTTTAGGTTTTAAACTTTTATTTTTACTGCTTGTTCTGTTTAATGCCCAACAGGTGCACCCGACCACCACAGCACATTGTGCAGTGAGAGACAGCGGCTGACTGGAAGTCATGTCACCAAAATTGTCTTTTTGCACGTCGTTTCTCAAAATTACCTTCATAAAACAGCACYACATGTCTAGAATGTGTTTATTAGGGATGTTCGATATGTCAGCATTAACCTAAGTAAACTATGCCAGGCCTGAATGTGGCGCTACAACAAAAAAAAAACAACAACACCAAAACAGGAAACAAGGCGGCGCGCGAGCATCAAGTCTGCTGTAAACCCAAGAAGAAGAGGATGTGTTGGATAGGGATGAAGGCGCCAKCTCATACCTGAATCTCAACGTTTTCACACTTGTTGTTGAGGTGAGCTTCGCTGCCACTCAAGTTTGTAAGACGTCAAAAATAAAAACTGTGCCACGGTGTTGGTCTCAGAGAAGTAAACTCATGGTCTGAAAGTATTCTGACTTGTGTACGGGAGCTCTTCCCTGATAAAGATTCAAATCTAAAAACCACGCAGATACATGACAGAAAAACCGATTCCAATCAGCTCATCTTTATTARCAAAGTGTACTCTGACACATTAAATCATAAACGTTGAGGCGGCTGCCGAGGCACGCAACAAAATAATGAGCAAGAATGCAGTTTTATGAGCCGTCGATGCAAAAATACATTTTTATTTTCAAAACGGTCTGCTCAAAACTCAGGATTTATTTCATGTATTTTCTTGCAAGTTTAGGGAATATTTTCTTCAAAAACAAATTTTAATAGCCACAAACTGTGTTTCCATTCACCATGAAAATGCACAAATTACAATTTCGAAAATAAATTTGCTCAATGGAAACACGTCAATTTAGAAAAAAACTTCCTTTTTTTCGACAAAATATTTTTGTGCTAGGATAAGATGGTTTTTCAGCCGTATCMAAATTGGTGTTTTRCACAAAACTGCAATGGAAACAGTTTTTTCACATCACAGGAGTCACGTGATCAACAACCGTCTGTTTCTACTGGTGAAAAAGACGATGATGAAGAAGATAACAGGAAGTAGAAGTAGTAGTAATATCACAGAAGTAGTATAAAATAGTAA